TGTAGAATGAAGGAGACTCCAGGTCAAAGAGAACTAGCAAGAACTGTGTCCTCACACTACCACACCTTATTGTGTCCTGAAGAAACTCAGGGGGTCAGAAAACATTGGGTTGGAATTTTATTTAATTGCTTACTATTACAAAACTCTATTATTTAAAATAAACATAGTATATCAAATGTTAATACAATAGAGACTAATAACATGCTGACTTGTCTTACCAGGTTAACTCTGAGTGCAGCCCTCTGAACACAGTTTCTTCTCATTACTTGACAATGGAGTAGGATCTTGAGATTATGAGGCAGCTTGTTTAAAAACTTATATTTTTACCATTTCTAATAACACACCTTTTTAATCAAGAAAATCGTGATACTGTGCAACCAATAAGAAATCACAGAAGTAAATTGGCTGTTGAGACTCATCTCTGATGATTGTCCGCTTGTGCGTGTAGCTCAGTGTCAGAATGATTGCTTAGCATGTTCAAGGACCTGGGTTCAATTTTCAGTACAGGGAAAAAAAATAAGTTGATAATTGTCATCAAAGCCTCTTATTTTAACTTTTGGTGTTTATCAAAACAGTCTTTTCCAACTTGATGATTTTGCATGATTGTGATGAATTTGAATTATTGAAATGTTTGCTAAAAATAGTTTTATTTTATATGTTCCTTCTAATATGAATTGTGATTATTCATATGATTACTTTGACAAAGAATTCCATTTCTATAACATAAAGTTTTTAAAAACCTGAACTTTGTTTCTTAGACTGCCAACCAAGACTTCAGTCTATTGAGTTTTGTTTAAAATTTTTAAACTGTTCCTTTGCTGTCTTCACACACATGCTTACTCTTCTTCCTGCCTTCTTCTTCTTCCTGTGAGCTTGGGATTTGTACAAGATAATATCAGACACAATCTGGTTTGGCAGCATAATGACCAAAATGTCTCTTCTGTTTTTTATTTTGTTTGATCACAACATCGAAATGCAACAATGGGTGAACTGTTTTGACAGTGGATTTGAAAACACCTGCTTAGTGATGCTGATGTATGTGAATTCTCATATTTAACATTAACAGCAAATTCTTCTGTCATTTTTACACTTTTATTGCAAAAAGCAGTGGCTTGGTCAGATCCTGGCAAAATACATCCTAAGCAACATTTTTGTGGAGGAATAAAAATGTACATTAATACAATTTATATTTATTTTATTAGTGTACATAATCTTATGTGAACAACAATTTTTCTGTCATATGTAACTTTTTAATGTACTATTTGAACTTCATCAACAGCTTCCTGATTGGGTGTCAAACACTAATCAGGCCCCTCACAAGTATTATCAGGGACTTAAAACATCTTGCATCCATCATAAAGAGTAAGTAACCATAATGACTAATCACAGTAGCATGTTTAAAAATGCAGAGCATGAATAGCTTTTTACCCAAGATTTGTAGTAAAAACCTATGCACAAAGGGACTGAAATGATTCATTATACCACTAACTTGTTTATATTATAAGACATTTATGTGCATGGCAAAATAAAACCATAAAACTGCCATTAACAAGTAGAGGGAGGAGGTTCTGTTTTTAACCAAATTACATGAATTTATGATGAATATATACAAAAATATTCCAGGAAAGAGATACTGCTATCCCATTATGTCATCCTAGGACGTCACAAAACCCAGTTCAATTATAGAACTTTTTAGTAATGCACACTTTGTACTTCCCAATGAGACTATAAGTAAATTTAGCAACTTATGAATCAGATTCTGCCCTTAAAGCTAAACAGTGAATTGCATGTGGAGTCACTATGTATTAGAGAAGCACAGAAAGCTAAGGGAAATTTTATTCTTAGGGGGAAAAAAACCCTCAAAACCAAAAAACACCCCCGTTTTTTATAACTACTTACAAATTTAAAAACCTTACCACCCAAATGGAAACGAGTTCACTGGTTTCTTCTCAGAAGTTTGGGATATCTGCATTAAAACTAAATTATTTTGCTAAATGTTCATTACTGAGTAACAGAGTAAGATGCAGTTGTGAAAAACGACACATACACAGTCTTTGCCTTCAGAGGGCTTAGTAAGAAAAGTAGAAAAGGAAACAGACATTTTAATGGCAGCATAAGGAGTTCTACTGAACTACCAGGCAAGGCTTCCTGGGGTAATGCCAGTGTGAATACCTGGAAGATAAGCAGGAGCTCACCAGGTAAAAGGACATGAAGGTACAGTCAAAAATATTCAAGGCAAAGGAGAGTAGCTTATGTGGAACATTTTTCATTATTGAATATTTATAAAATAAATGTTGACTG